GTTAGTCATACACCGCAGCAAAATAGGGTGGCAGAGAGGTTAAATCGGTCTTTGCTGGAGAAGATTCGATGTTTATTAGCGCATAGTGGTTTAGAGAAGATCTTTTGGGCTGAGGCACTTTCATATGCGAACCACCTCATTAATAGGTTGCATTCATCTGTGATTGAGGGGAAGACCCATATGGAGATGTGGTCAGGAAAGCCAGCACACGATTATGACCATCTCAAGGTATTTGGGTGCCCTGCATATTATCATGTTAGAACTGATAAATTGGAACCTCGAGCTAGGAAGGCCATATTTGTAGGATTCAAGCGTGGTGTCAAGGGATATAAGATTTGGGATCCAGTTGATAAGAAGATTGTCTGAGTAGAGACGTCACGTTTGATGAAGCTTCTATCTTGAAGCTTCCCAGCTCTCATCAGGTGGAGAGCGGCCCGACAGAGGAGATATCGCAGGTGGTGGAGATTGATGCTGCTCCACAGTGTCCAGATGGTGCAGTATCCATTAGAGTGTCGACTGAGGTGACGCCAGGCGAGCACGACGATAATGCGGAGGATACGGGTACTCATGTGCAGGATCAGGGACCGACGACTCAGGTTCAGGATTCTATTACGGTTCGGATACAGAGGAGAGACATACAGGTGCCAGCACGGTATGCCGACACAGTTGCATATGTACTTCCGGTGGAGAGTATCGATGAGATGATACCTACTACTTTCAGAGAGGCCGAGAAGAGTTCGGAGGCTGATTCGTGGCAGGTAGCTATGCAAGAGGAGATGGAGTCTCTTCATAAGAACGATACATGGGAGCTTGTTGATCTTCCAAAGGGGCGGAAGGCGATTGGGTGCAAGTGGGTGTACACGAAGAAGGAGGGTATTGAGGGCACTCCATTGAGGTTCAAAGCTAGGTTGGTTGCGAAGGGCTATGCACAGGAGGAATGTATTGATTACAATGAGGTTTTCTCTCCGGTAGTGAAGCATTCTTCGATTCTGATTCTGCTAGCTTTGGTGGCACCGTATGGATTGGAGTTAGACCAGTTGGATGTGAAGACAATATTTCTTCATGGTGATCTTGATGAAAAAATATATATGACTCAGCCATTGGGATTCCGAGCTGCAGGGAAAGATAAGTTGGTTTGTAGGTTAAAGAAATCGCTATACGGTTTGAAGCAGTCTCCTCGACAGTGGTATAAGCGATTTGATGGTTTTATGCTTGATCATTCGTACACTCGGAGCCAGTATGATCCTTGCATGTATTTTTGCAAGTTAAGAGGAGGTGCGTACATCTACTTGTTATTTTATGTCGATGACATGTTGGTTGCCTCTACTTTCAGGTCGGCTATAGATGAGTTGAAAGTTCAGGTTTCAAATGAGTTTGAGATGAAGGACTTGAGTGAGGCCAAACACATTTTGGGAATGGAGATCGATAGAGACAAGAAGAAGGGTAAAATTTGTTTGACACATGTGGCTTATTTGAAGAAGGTTCTACAGCGATTTCATGTTAGCATGGATACGAAGCCAGTTGGTGTACCATTAGGAGCCCATTTAAAGCTTTCAGCTGGTCTTTCACCAAAGTCAGTTGAAGATCGATATTTGATGTTGAAGACTCCATATGCGAGTGTGGTTGGGAGCTTGATGTATGCGATGATATGTACGAGGCCGGATTTGTCACAGGCGGTGAGCATGGTTTCGAGATACATGCATGATCCAGGAGTGGGTCATTGGGACGTCGTGAGATGAATTTTGAGGTACATTCGAGGTACGCTCAATGTTGGTTTGGTTTATGAGCGGGACACTACAGGTGAGCAGCTATGCATTGGCTATGTTGATTCGGATTATGTCGGGGATTTGGATAAGCGTCGGTCTACTACGGGATATGTGTTTACTTTGACCTGTGCGCCGGTGTGTTGGAGATGCACCTTACAATCTACGGTAGCTTTGTCTACGACGGAGGCAGAGTATATGACGGTTACGGAGGCTGTGAATGAGGCTATTTGGTTTTGAGGACTTTTGAAGGAACTTGGTATATCGCAGCGGTCCGTCACCATTCATTGTGATACCATGAGTGCTATCTATTTGGCGAAGAATCAGGTTTTTCATGCGAGGATGAAGCACATTGACGTTCGTTATCACTTCGCTCGGGATGTTCTTGAAGATGGCGATGTGAAGATTGTGAAAGTCCACACAAAGGATAATCCGGCGGATATGCTCACTAAGGTGGTTCCGAGTAACAAGTTTGATCATTGTCGAAACTTGTTGTATATTCGTGATTGTTGACGGCCATTTGGATGAACTACGGACGACTTGATTCCTTGGGAGAGGGGGTACGTAGGCAACCACATTGGTGCAGCTGAGTTTGGAGAGACGACATATTGGTGCTCATATTTGTGTCGGCTCAGTGTTGGGAACACTTCGCCGAGGTGGAGAATTATGAAAACAGTGAAGAAATTATGAAAAACGTGAAGAAAAATCCAAAACAGACTCCACCACACCCTGGTGTGGTGTCTGCCACTTTTTCAAAATCTCATGCATTATACAAACAGTGAAACATGCACACTACAAAATTTATTTTCATATTTTACAAAAAACAGTAGATTCTAAAAGAAAAAAAATACGGATAATAATACATTAATACCTAAAGAGGAACAAAAGAATCAAAAGAAAGTTAAGAAACAAATATTAGATAGACTCATCTATATTATTTATTGTTTAATATAAAAGGAAACCGAATATGAAGGGATCCAATTAGAGTTCCATTATATTCAGAAGGCTGGTAAAGTTCAAAATTCTATCATTAACTAAGTTAAAGATGATTCTACGCTCTATAATCCAATAATGTTACCATAAAATTAATTTTTAAAAGCTAATTACTTCCATCATCTATCAAATAAGGGCTTGTTTGTTTCACCAATTTTATGGAATAGGAATGATATTTGGACCTGACACCTCTCCTCTTTTTTATTCTGATTCCTAATCCTATTCCTAATCCTTTGAGTGAAACAAACATAGAATACAAAAAAAAGGGGATTCCATAAAACTAAAACTTGTCTATAAATTTTTTATGGATTAGGTTGGAATCCATAAATAAAATAGGATTCCTAATCATATTCCTACCCTCTATTGAACCAAACAGGCCCTAAATGTAAGCAATAAATCAGTTAGAGCGGAGAAAGTATCTGAGCTAAGCTAGGATATTATTCATAGTATTCAAAACAATGGATAATATTGATCCAAATATAAAAATTTTTGATTTTTAAAAGTGAAATTATTACCGTTAAATGTGATCTCATATGCATGAACTACCTTAAAATAATATTTCAAACGATTTACATTCATCACGTGAGTAACAAAAATTAAGCAATTTTTAAAAGAGGTAGATCATATTTAAATTTAAGATTCCTCAATTTCAGAATCCAAATTTTATATTTGAACTAATGTGGCTAAATGCCAATATCTACACCACCATATAATGAACATAGCGATGGTAGCGAAAATTGTATGAGCAGTGGACATTTTTCTCATTCATATTGTAACTTGGAGGGTAAAATGGTAAGTTTATAAGGGTAAATTTTCCCCTCTTTTCTTTCTTTTCATTTATTATTTCTAAAAGATTATAAATTATGACATGAGAATAGGAACTCATATAATTAATTTTGTTCTTTTCTAACAGGAACATTTACTTTATTTCTTGTCTTCTATCCTTTCTAATTCTATAACATTCTAAATCATGAAATGACAATACACATTAAATTAAATTGTAATATATATATCCTTTATTTCTTGTGAATCTTGAGTTGAGGGCAGTGCTGAGAGCATGGGCAGCAAGCTCCCAAGCCTGCTCTCAGCTCCGACGTGGACACCTCCTCCGATTTAACCCCCTCCAACAGCCTCCGAAGCTCTCCCAACCTGCTCTCAAGCGATGACGTGGAGGTGGAGAGCTTCGGAGCTCCCAAGCGCTCCACAAATTTGTGGAGCGCTTGGGAGCTCCCAAGCTGCCGGATTTTAACAAAACCCCCCCAACAATACACCTTCGCAGATCTGCCCAAAAAAGAAGCAAAAATCCAACGGGAGATGAAGAGGCGCCGGAGATGTGGAAGAGGAGGGGAAACAAAGATGATTTGGGGAGAAGAGGCCTCCGACTGGGTAGAAGATGAGGCGCCGGAGATGTGGAAGAGGAGGGGAAACAGGTGGATGATTTCAGGAGCTTGGTGTTCGCGGAGATGAGGCCTCCGGCTGGGTAGAAGACGAGGTTGTTTGAGGCATCCGACTGGGGGAGAAGATGAGGCCTCTGACTGGGGTTGGGATTTGGGGATTTGGGGTTGGGATTTGGGGTTGGGATTTGGGGAGAAGATGAGTGTTTTGAGTTTATTTTAATCGGCTGAGTTGTGTCACTGTTTGAGGTTGAGGTCGAGGTGGGGATTTCAATTCGTTGTAAAATTTATCGATGTATAAAAATTGAGCCGTTGTAAAATCATGCCGTTGAAAATTTTACCGTTGTATAAAAATTTTACCGTTTAAATATAATTAAAAGTAATGGGTGAAATATTAAAATAGAAGAGGGTTTTTTTTGATATTGTTGGAGCTCCTAACTAGGAGCTTGTTGGAGCTCCATAAAAGAAGGAGTGCCTCCCAATGTATAATTTGTTAATTTTTTATTTTAAAAAGCTTGAGAGCTCTTGAGAGCATGCTGATTAGGACTCCCAACTGAGAGCTTGCTGCACTTGCTCTGAGTCCGTTAACTTCATAGTATATATAGAAGAATAGTGGAAGCAACGTGCCCTCAACTCAAGATTCACAAGTAAATCTCTGCGGTTCTTTTCTTGTTCGAAAAGGTCCGTGAATGTTAGAAATCCCACCCAAGTCGAGTCCGAAGCTCAATCCTAATCCGCATCACATACCAAATCAAAACCAACGGTTGATCTAACACCCTCACTCATACTAGAGCCCAATCTCAACCGTTGATCGAATCCCGGACGGGCGTTTAATTCAACCAGCCCGCTGGGAGGAAAAAAAGCGCGAGAACGAAAACCGAATCCCAAATCGAAATCGATTCGATGGCGCCTCACTCCTTTCAAATACCGCCCAATTCCCCAATTTTTATCCTCGCTTCAAAACCCTAGGCCCTCAAAAACTCCCCCTTTTGTCTAAATTCCCCAAATCTCGCTCGAAAATTTCCCCAATTTTGACAAATTCTAGGGTTCCTGAGAATGGAGATGGGGCCCGAGCCGCTTCCTCCTCCGACCGTAAGTAGGAAATTTCTCGATTGCTTGTTTTTCCATTTTGATTTTTGTTCTCTGACCGTTGCTTAATTTTTCGATTGTTTTGTTTTCAGAACCCTAGAGGAGACAGTATGGAGAGCCCTAGGTCACCCTCACCGATTCCAGGGTTTGAGCCCAATTTGACGGTGAGAATTCTTATTATTTGGCTCGATTTCATCAAAATATTTCTAATTTCCGTGGACTTTTTAGATTTTCATGATTAATTAGTGATTTCTTCTGTGATTTGTTGGATACAGATCTCTAACCCTAACGATGAGAACGAGAAGACATCAAATTTTTCGCTTCTTTTATCAGGCTCTGAGTCCTATCCAGTAGTAAGTTAGAAATTCGTTTAGATTAACGTTGAAATCTACTGTGAGACCCTTTTTCTCACTGATTTTCTGACTTCAAAACACGAAGGAAAAGAATATTGCATTAAGAAATCTGTTATATGCTTATTTTAGGGTTTCTGTTATATTCTTTATATTGAGTTAAGTGGAATATAGTCTTTTAAGTGATTTACGTTTTGTTTTAAATTCCAGGGATCGGGCCTGAGAAATATTGGCAATACTTGCTACTTAAATTCTGTTCTTCAATGCGTTATACACACTGTTCCGTTGGTCGAAAAGCTGCGCTCGTTTGATCACGATCATCCTTACTCCAGTATGTACATATTTTTATATGTTTAAATGCATTTATATTTGGGTTTCTAACTGTATTGTTCTTTTTGTGTACTATTTTATAGGTGGCTATAGTAAATATTTCTGCTCTCTTTGCGCCTTAAGAAATCTTGTAGCTTCATGCATGGCCAATCCTGGATGGTCCATTGCTCCATACGACTTCACAGATAATTTAAGAAGTATCCTTCTGTGATGCAGTTTGTACTTTTCTGTTTATTGTTTAGTTTTCTTACAACCTGAACTTAATTTAATTAGAGGGGTTTAATGAACTTGGAAGCGAGCAGCTTCCTATTTGTTTATTTATGATTTATTAACCATGAACTGATACCTAAACAGCCTTCTAAGTTTGAGCATCCATGTGACTTTTTATTTCTTTTGTTTGTAAAGGAAGAAATTGGACTTCATTGTCTACGATTAGGTTCGAGTCTGGTCCTTAGTTATATAAGAAGGCAACCCTTTTAATTTAATAATTTAATATCCCGATTCTACTTATTATGAGTTAACCTAAGGCTAGAATCATGTACATCACATTTAACCCTAGATATGATATTATTCTCAAAGTGCAAACATATTGTTAATTGATATGAAATAATAAATTAATTATTGTAATTCCTTAATCCAATTTTTTTACAGAGATATCATTTGATTTCGAGTTAGGATTGCAGCAGGATGCTCACGAGTTTTACCATGGATTATTGGACAACCTTCACAACTCGTGTCTTGACCCAAGTTCTAAAGATCACCCATTGTCTATGGAGAAGAACAGCCTTATCAAAGATATCTATGGAGGCATTTCTATAAGCCAGGTACCTATTTCATGCAACCCTTCCTAATTTAGAAATTTGAAGCTTCAAGTTTGCATCAATATTTCTTGCACTAATTTACCTGTCTTCATATAAAATTCAGCTGAAGTGCACTGAGTGTGGCCATTGTTCAAATACTCCTGAACCCCTACTTGATCTCAGCTTAGAAATCGCTGATGCAGACACTCTTAAAGACGCTCTCGAGTCATTTACTAAGGTGGAGAGGATCGAAGAGACAAAATTTACCTGTGAAGGATGCAAGTTACAAGTTTTGATGGACAAGCAAACTAAGATTGACCATGCTCCACCAGTCATTTCCCTTCACCTCAAGAGATTTAGGAATGACGGGGTAACTATTGACAAGATTGATAAGTTTGTTGAGTATCCACTGGAGTTGGATTTAAGGCCCTTCATTTGCTACCCAAAAGAAGAAGTAAGTGTCTTTGTTGTTTTCCAGGCAGTTTGAATGCATTCAACGGAGTTTTTGATGTAATTTGTGTACTTTTGTGCAGGAGCAAACTGTATATGATCTATATGCAGTGTTAGTTCATGAAGGTACAGCTTCCTATGGGCACTACTACAGCTTAGTCCGTTCCTCTCCAACGATATGGCACAGAATGGATGATTCTATGGTGAATATGTTACAAACTAAATTTAGCTAGAACTTGCATGATCTTTAATACAACAATTACTTAAAGATGCATTTTTCAGTAGTTTACTTGAGCTGCTCTTCAATGACTATTTCTAGTGATTTGTTTACAGTGGGGTTTTTTTTTTTTTTTGGGGGGGGGGATCACAAATTTATACATTCGGTATTCTGCTAGAAATTTGCTCAGTGATTCTATTTGTTGAATGATGGTGCTTGCTTTATTATAGGGTTAACTGTAGGATGGACCCTCTGTCCCTCTGTAGTATTGCTGTTTTGGACTTACTATCCATGTAGCTTTATTGTTGCAGATAGACCTGAGTGCATTTTTTCTCTCACTCTATTACCCTCAGAGGGTCAATTTGTCAAGAAACAATTTTCTCTAGGGGGTGAGTCAAAAAATTCACTGTGGGGAGGTAGCTGTGTAATTTTGTAAGATCAAAACAACGATACTTTCAGGGGGTCTATCCGCAATTAACCCTTCACTATAATTGCCTTTAGTATGCTCATTTCTGCATACGTAACTTCCAATTTATCCTCTCTTCCTGAATACATAACTAGGTACTATGAGTGTAACCTTTCACTTTACTTATTACAGGTGACTAGAGCTTCTGAAGCCTTTGTCGTAAGGGAAACAGCCTACATTCTCTTCTATATAAAGAAAGGCTCTTCACCCTGGTTCTCTAGCTTAATGGAAGCTGAAACCCGTACTTCACCGACATCAGTGCTTGATGACACCATTAGGGTTCAATCTCCATCTTCTGCTGATGAGACTAGTCCAGAGAAAGAAGAAGAAGCTGGTCCATGCCCAACTGTTCCTTTGGAGTCTCCAGAGAAAGAAGAAGAAGCTGGTCCATGCCCTACTGTTCCTTTGGAGTCTCCGAGCACTACTCTCACGTGCGAAAACCGCAGCCATCCAAATGAGCCCCACAATGCAATGACAAGTCGGTTTCGACCGCAGAACAGCAAAAGATCAAACCCTGATCATTCTATTATTGATATCGACGAATGTTTCCAGGATGAACCTTTGGGTAAGGCTTATTCCCCTTCTAAAGCTTGGGTACAGAAATCTAGATTTTTGCTTAGGAAGCAGATCAATAGCATACCAGTGTCTATTGTTTTCTTTGTGGTTAGACCCTGGTTGCTTTGTTTGATTATCATTGGGTTTGTTTTATTTGGATTGAGTGATATTTGATAATAGGGGCTTTTAGGGATTGGTCCCTTCAATCTTTCATATTTTTAAAATTAGTCCCCCAAAATTTTAAAATTATTATTTAGTCCTTTAAATCTTATAACTTGCTCCAAATTAGGCCCTTTGTTGAGTAAATAGCTATACCCTGTTAGAATTCGCCAAAAACAAACCCGAACCTAACATTTATTTCTTGTTATTCTCAATGGTCATCTACTTCCTCAAGCACATCTTTCCAAAGGTTCTTACTCAGTCCTTTAACATCCCCTCTAACACACCCATAACTTCTATCTCAAAGCTCGAATGTATTTGATTTAAGGGTATAAAGGTAGGTTTTATGTCATGATAGTTACTAACCCAACTAGAGTTAAAGAATTGAACTAAGAAACTAACAAAATGACCAGGGTGGAGCAACTTGCTGGATTTGGTTGTCTAAAGTAAACAATAAATTTTAAAAAGGATCTGAAAGATTTAGGGGACCAATACCTTTAAATTAAAAACAAAAAGAACCCTTGTGGAGGGCTTTCAGTATCTAATCTTTTGCTCCTTTTCTATTGGCCGATTTGACAGAGGATGATGAGAAGGAGAACCATCTAATTCCACGAGGGAATATAGGATCAAGATTTAATAAAGAAGAAGTAAAGACAAGTGCCCTCGAGCCAAAACGAGTTCCCTTCATAGGTGGACCTCTTAAAAGATTAGTGAGAGGAATGCCCTCTTTGCGAAGATCAAGCATTCTTGCCTGTCTGCCTCCAAATCACATGTCTCTAAACCAAAGATCTCCTTTGACTTCGAAGACTCCATCTTTGAATAAGAAGAGAAGGACATTGAAAGAATCGTCGATGATGGACTCTTCGAGAAGTCTTAGCCCTGGTGCAGTAAGACGAGGATTGTTTGGAAATGACTCAGTTTCGACAATGTAGTCCTCGTAACTCTTGGAGAATTTTGTTCTTTTGGATATCTCCAGATCTCTGAGTGTTATATAGGTCGATCCATCTAATTGTATTACTCTCAAAACTAGTGTCTGCAATTTGTCAATTGTGTGCAAATGGTCATGTTTCTCTTCTCAGTTCCTGTTGATTTTTTATATAAATATTTTGTTCAACAACGTGCAAATAGCAAGCCCCTTCTATTCTGTAACGTAACTTCCATCAACCAAATAAAGCTTTCTGCTTGCTGAGATGCGTGGAAAAGCTTGCTCCGGCCCGCAAGAATCTTTTCCCACTTTGGATGAGGTCGGTGCGGTAAAATTAAAAGATCATAGCGTTTAACATGCAACTTTGATTTTTGAAGGACGCAACGATTTGGTCGTTAGAATGCGTAAATGTTGGAAAATTAAGAAGCTAGTTTCTTTAAAGAATCCAACCTCTTTTGAAACTAAAGCGTTTCCCTAATCGTAGATGAGTTCCAAACAATGGCAGAAAAATACAAAGCAGAGAACCTGAAAACAGTATCCAAAGTAAGAAATTACTGGCATAGAATTACAACTCAAATGATTGCTGCTCCCACACTGCTCACAAAACACAAAAGGGGTACTACCCTGTCATATAGAGCAAATTTTCCAGGTCCACAAATACAAATTAACATTTAATAAAGAAAAAGACTAGAAAAATATTATTTATAGGCAACATACATGACTTTCTGTAACACTGTAACGAATTTGGCTCATACAACTGCAAACAATCCTAACTTACGCACCCCTTGAGCAAAACTTTCAACAAATTAAATTAACGCAATAGACAAACAACCTCTCAAGAAGTCGATCAATAATCCTGCCCTATAACAAGCAGAGTAGCTCGTTTTCGAACATGAAGCCGGTAAGAAACACACTTTAGAGGATTCTATCTTGGAAGTCATTGAGGAGAGTGGAAGCTATGGAAGTCAACTTCTTCCCGGTCTCTCCAGCGATGTTCTTGAGGGAGGATATATCCTGTGATGCCTGTGAATGATAGCCAACAGGGCAAATCAATATTTGCTTATTACAGCTCACGACTGTTCAAAGGTTTAATAACAGATAAGTGATAACAACACATGCATACTATCGCCTAATTGTGGACAGACACTCTGCAGTTTGCAGATAGACCCTCTTAGTGAGAATTTTGACTCTTTTACCCTCAACCGGCCTATTTGTCAAAAAACAATTTCTCTTTCTCTTATGGTAAAATAGAAAGGCAAATTAAAAAAATAATAACTCAGGAGGGCTATCTGCAACCATAACAACAAGGGGTCTATACGCAATTAAACCTTGTTCAAATGACAGTCTCTTCAAAAAATTATATAAGGCATTCAACGTGAAAGGTAAAAGGGAGAAAAAAGAGAGGGCCAAAAAGTGAACACCGCAAATACCTGGAAGGAGATTTTGTTGATAAGGTCAGATGCAGATAGATCAAGACTAGAATCATCCATGCCATTACCAAACAGATCCGCACTTGAAATGGATGATGAGCCCTATGATTAAACATCAGCAGAAGTTACAACAGTATCCGAATTTACAATTCCAAGGATAAAATGTCAAGATAATGACAGTGGTAAGGGAATAACATCTTAATTCACGCAACAGCGAAACCTACACAATATAATTATATGATTACATATGCATGAGCGCAGACAATCATTAAAAAATAAATGCCCTTTACTAATCTACACCAAAAAGGAAAGAAATTGATGTTATCAAGATGAAATTTCCATTAAACTAACCATAACATGGGTTATTTTGTATTTGTAAAAGGTACAAGAACATACCGAATACTTTTGCAATGAGATTTGAGCATCCCTATCCCCAGGCTTAACCTGATCGCCAAAGAATTGTGCAGATGAAATTGATTTGGCATTTGAAAATTTCTGTCTGGCTTCATTAGTTTCCTGGATCTGAAAGAACAAAATTTTAGGCATGATACTACATTGGCATAAACTGAATGTCATATTCATAACCAAATAAATTCAAGACTCAAAAACAGAAAGACTTATCACCATAATCTAGCATTAACCTAGATGTATCAACAGTGACGCTTAATATACTACAGAACATGTGACTGCTATGTGGGGTGATGTTCGAGGGGCACATGTCAAGTAGTATTCCAATTTCCCATGTTTGCAGTAGTTAGCATTTCTATAACATCTACCATATTTAGGTTTTAGCATTTTCACGATACCAAGATTTGAGATTTACACACCATTTAATATCTTAATATGCCTATTAAAAAGCCATATCAGGCAACCTTGGTCTGCCTGTTCTGCCAAAATGCTCCATCATGGCCATTGGATTTGAATTATGTTCTAATTTTATTACTTAAACTTCATTCCAATGATACCTCTAATACATGACCAAACATTATTATTTTTGTCCATTCTCCCTTGCCATTTTTAATCACAATGAGTCTCTACATTAGGGCTTTCCGAGCTCTTCAAACTCTCAATAGCTGCCCTCACCCAGGCTTTAATATTCAGCTACAGAGTTATGTGGTGCTACAGCTGTGTGTAAAGATGAATGTGATTTTTGTTTTTTGCCCATCCAGACTCCAGAGTCTCAAGGTGGCACAAAGGGAGAATATTTTGGATGCCCTGACCAGTTAGTTCATAATCTGGTCAGCCTGACTTATGAAATTAAGAAACATATTGGACTAAGCTTTCACCTTTTGGCACCTTCTCGTCCAATTCTACCAGTTCAGATCAACCAATTGACACCCAAGAAAATGACAACCCTGTAATCTAATCTGCCCATTCCAGAAAGTGCTAAAAGCCAAAATTAAATGGCAACTTTTTAACCCAGAAGCGCCTGAACTGTTTGGTGTTCAGGTAACCAACTGTTTGCACTGCTTCCATCAGGCATCCCTAACTCGTGATCACATCTTGAGAAATGGCAAATTTTTAATCCAATTCGCCAATTCAGATACTAAAAACTTAGACTAAATCACCATCCTAATCAATGATCCACTTCCAAGTTCTCCAAATCTAGATCCCAACGGCATCTTGTTTGGCAGGTAAGAAGACGGTTTGCTCTCCATCCAGCACGCAGCCTTCCAGTAATCCTTCCAACAGAAAAATCCTAGGAGCATGACATCAGGTAAATGAGACCTTTAAGTTTATCTAGTTGGACTTGGACATTTGTATATAAAATGATACTTGAACTAAGATGTTCCATCTTATTATATCAAAAGTGCAGACCACAATGAATTATCAATTCACTATCAACAAATAAATATAATGGACTCAGAAGCAAAACGCGAAACCTTCCAAATCAGATCATTGATTGTTTCAGAGGTATTGGACTAGAATTCAAGAATCTTCTATTATTCTGTCGAGTTTTAAAAGTAAGATAATGCTAAGAGCAATACCAAGGAATCACCAGGGATAATTTTCTTAAAAACAAACATTTAACAGGCATCCAAGGAATTGATCAACTGCAGGTCATCCATAAGATAAACAATATGCTCGAGCTACAGGGATAGAATGATAGATGTGTCAACTATAGGCCAAGTTTCCTACTTAAACATGGTAGGACAGAACAGAGTTTTAAATACCACTGGCTACAGGTTTCACAATTTCAATTCCTTTGTCTGTGTCAACAAACGATTGACCAAAGTTTTGCTACATATTAAAACCTAAAACCCTCGCCAAGACGCTAAACTAGTATACCTGCAGGGAAGCAGTTCCATGTACCCCAACTAGTCATAGAATCATGCAAGAGTAGAGCAAAATACATTTCTCTCCTACAACCGCAGAGATTTAGATCTTTGAACTAGTTAATGCCTGAAACAAATACTTGTCGCTTATTAGTTGTCTATATTCTTTAATAAAGAACTGGGATATGTCATAAATTCGCAGACTCAATCCTTTATCATAGTGAGACCAGGTCACTTAATGATAAATAAAAAGAAGTTGATGGTCCTACTCCATTACTTACTGATGAGTTTAAATGATGATAATGTGTACTTAACAGAAAACGTTAGATATGTAAAGTACTTCCATTTCCACTAAAGTTCCTTATATGGAACTGTTTGTTGGCCTTCTTGTTTTGATGATGATTTACAAACAATTTACTACTAATGTTGTTTGTCTAGTGTTTGTGTTTTCCTATGTATTGTAGACAAACAACGTTGTTGGAGGTTGGATGGATTAAGCCTACACGATCATTTCAAGAGGAGATTGGCGGAATTGTGGAGTGAAGCATCGTACAATTCAAGTTCAAGATCCAAGTTTAGCTTCATCCGTAACGTGTACCAAGTTGACCTACAATGAAGATCAAGATCATTGCTTGGGTAACTTTAGTTTAGGTGTTATATTATGTGTGTTAGTACTTTAAGCTCAATCATATACACACATACACGGTTTGGTTTTTGGTTTGATAGTTTTACTATGAAACAATTTAGTTATATATATACATAGTTATATATATACATATATGTTTTGGTTTGATAGTTTTCTAGTTTTACTATGAAACAATTGAATATAATTAGAAAACATATCTTTGTTTCATACTTATATGCATATATATGATTTCATCAATATCAATTTTAGTTAGTTCAATAAAATCATGTTTTAGTGCATTATACGTGTATTTTGATAAAATACTACATTCATTGTTTATAGACTTCATAACAATAGTTTACATCTTTCTTCAAGTCTATAAAATCATTTTGTAAAGTTTTAAAAGTTGGTTTAGGTCAAAACATCAAACTTTTTTCAGAACCTGTCATATCTGTTTTCGGTCGACCGCACCGGTCGACCGATCATTTGATCTTTCATCACTGGGCGACAGAGAGTTGGTCGGTCGACCGGTCCGGTCGACCGAAAGCACCATCGGTCGACTGCACCGGTCGACTGACGATTGTCCAGAGCTGGTTTTCGTGTTTTTGCGCTCCATCGGTCGACCGACAGAATTTCCGGTCGACCGACAATAGATCCGTTGCTTTTTTCAACGGTTATTTTTTGACCTGTTTGCTGGGACTGTTTTGTCTTTTGTTAAGGATTTTGACTGAGAGTTAGAGTGGGTATAAATACCCTATTGCTGCTCTCTTTCAAGGTAAGCCAAGAAGTTTTTAAACAAGGTTTTTAAAAAGAATTTAAGCTTGTTTAAGCTTGTTTAAGGGTTTGGTTTAAAGCAGTTTTAGCTTTCACAAGTGGAGGAGATTATCTTATTGTTTGGGCCTCAAATCTCCATCTCTCCATCTTAATCTAGAGAAGTTTTCCTAAACTCAACTCTAGCTTTTACTTATAATTATTTGTTAATTATCATTTCTATTAAAGCTAGTTTTATATTAAGTTTAGATTTGTTTTTATATTACTCATTGTTACACACCCACATTGAGCTTTTAGTATTTACATACATAGTATAGTTGGGTGGTGAGAGATTGTAACTTTGAGTTGTGCTTTCATTGTGTTCTCATCCATAGTTAAGAACAATCATTTGTCATATTATGCTTATTGTGAGATTCACTTTGTAATACACTTGTACACCGAGTGAGGAGTGTGTGGTGAGAGTCGGGGATCGTCCCAAGAGGAGTGGCGTCGGTTGACGAGCCTAGGGAGAGGTTATAACCGAGCACTTGAGGGAGACACGGCTAGGTCCAACACTTAGTGGGTGTAAAGTGGGATTATAATAGTGTGTTGATTGTAAAGTTTTCGGTTAGCTAGAAAACCGAGTGTGAGGTGTAAACGTTACTCGGATGAACGTAGAAAACCCGGTTGATAGTGGATTTCTTCCCGGGAGTGGGGAGCGGAGACGTAGGACGGAAGGTCCGAACTCCGTGATCACTTGATTGTGTTTGAGTGTGTTTTGGCGTTCACTTTTATTTATGTTCATATCTTATATCGTCATTGTGCATTGCTCATTACTATATCATCCACTATCTTGTTTAGATTATCTACCCTTGTATTGTTTATATATCCTTGCACATACATTGCCTATATCTCATTATTAGGATATATCTTGTTGTTCACATTGTTTATCCTAGCTCATATATCTTGTGGTATTTCATACTTGTTAGGATAACTTGTTAATTAATTTTAATTGGCATATAATCAGATTAGATTAGCATAAGACCCTAATCACCCCCCCTCTAGGGTCTAACACTGTTATCCTACTGCATCAAACTATGAGATTTGACATCACATCCTGTGCGCAGATAGTCATTTTATTCATGTACGTGTACACAATGACAGAAATCATGTACTGGTTTGTAGTTCAATGTTTTCGGGATTGTATAACCATGAAAACAAATGAATCAAAACCCCATATCAAGGATTCGCATGCAAGAAACAAAATGTGAAAAAAAAGAGTGTAGCAGAAATGAGAATATTATGTTAGACGTGCATATGCACAAAGGTACAAGATAAGAAATGGGTGAAATCACAGGAGGTTAGAGGTTTCTCTTGTGGAAAATAAAATGAGAGAATCTAGTGAGAAGGTTTAGTGCAATGGAGACTGTTAAAGGCACCAGAAAGGGCAAGCGATGATGCAAAAGGGACAAGGAGGACTAGAGACTACCCTAAGAGAACATGGTTGGAAACAATTAAGAAGAATATAGTAAAGGTTAACGAAAGAAACAGCCTTTAATAGAACCTAATTGAAGAACAACATGCATGTATCCGACCCCAACAACTGAGTATCAAGGCTCTGTTGTTGATAATAATAACAGAACCGATAGCTATACAATCTAGCTAATTCTCCAACAATCTTGATGAAAATAATACTTTTGTAGTTTGGACGGGAGCAAAAGCAGTGCCAATAATGCAAAAGGGGAGAAGAATTCAGATCCATGATTATGGTTAGCAGTTGTATGTGGATACCAAAAATACATTTGCTGAGAGAATGTCCCCAGCATATAAAATATTACAGTTTCAGGTGCAAGTGCATCAAATGCTGCAGGAATATTGGTGGGTAAGCATCCTCATAAAAGGAAAAAAAAAGGCAAAAATGACATTGGAATCAACCAATGAGACAGCATTAATATCCCCATTGATGATTCAAGTTGCATATTTCCTATTTACCTGACTATTAGTTCAACTGCAATGTTCTACATAAATTAATAAGTTTGGTCATATAGTTCAAAGAAGGCTGACCGATTAATCTAACCAATCAATAGCACATGAACTACTTGCTTGTTTCAACCCAAATTGTGATTTCTGTATCAACTAGACCACTAGAACGAGTTTCTTGTTTCTGTCATGTAGTCCAACAGTTCGCAAAACTTATTTGGTATTTATTCTAGAAACTATTGTTTCAGGAACCAGACGGCAATTCAAGATGGTGGCCTCCCTTGCATACTCCAATTGAACCATGCTAACAGAAGTAATACATGTATGACCATAAGGCCTACAAGTACAACAACATATAGGTTATTTTGTACCCAAGTTTTTGGTTCGTTCAAAGCCAAAAGGATGGGTACAGAAGCTAATTGGTATATATGTAGAATAGCAGGAAGATAATATGACTAACTGATATCCTAGTAAAGTAAGTCACCTGTTCAAGTGGCTTTACCTAGAAAGGAAGCAAACCAAGTAGACTAACATTTAGATATCACACGAGAGTAAGACCAGCAACAGGAAACTAGGATGTGTTATGAATGGAGCACACCAGCATTTTGTTCATTGGAAGATGAAAAGTAACTCTTGAAGCTATAAACCAATCATGGACCAATGATAATAGTTCATGGTTCACCAATATCAATCTAACTGATATATCAACAGCATGCTTGCATGCTGTCAAGTTTGTTTTCAACAGGGAAAAAAAAGTTCAACATAACAAAAACTTGAGGCAAAAAATATCAAATTGCACCTGCACTTTTGATGAAGTAGAGTTAGTTTTTTTCTGGAACCCACTATCCATTCCAAAGTCAGCAAAGAAGTTCGAAGATTTTGGGGGTGCCACATGGCCAGTAACTTGAGAACCTCCAGAGACAGTCCCAGTACCTGGCTCTACATACTCAAATCGAGAAGAAAAAGATGATCCTTTTGTTGATGGACTAGGAGTAGCCAAGGATGTAACAGCTGGTGCTGGTTCCTCAGGCTTCTGATCATAAAGACTCTCACTTGGCTGCAAATATAAATGCAAACCGTAATATCAATAAGAATTCATTTTACCTTAACAGAAAAAATCAATCAATGTTCTTGGGATAGCAAGGTGCAGGTGAATGTTGCAAAAATCTCATGCCCTATGCAAGAAGTAGCAGTTAAATCTTTTTGTGATGTTTCTTTACAGGAACCAACATTCTCAAGTCAAATATGCAGCTCAACAAATAGAAACATGAATTTCAAGCAATAACATTCATTAGATAATATCCCACAACTTTCAAGTGCAGTCATTAACCTTTGTCATAAGTTTCCGTACGCCAAGGCCTCCGGATCTACCTCCAGCCTTCTTAGCCCCAATTGGCTTCTTTGCCATGACTGCTGAATGAATAGGAGCTTTAGGTGAACGAGTTACTTCCGGAGTTTCATGCTTCTCTTTTTCTTTTGGTGTTTCTGGAAGCTTAAGCTCGGGAAGGCCTACTTCAGATGTCTGAGATGCAGCAACAGGAGATGAAGGAAGGATGACTTCGTCTGCCAAGCTTTTAGCAACTTCCTTAGACAGTATCTGCCTATATAACTCAGCAGCTCTAGATGTGTATTTTGCCTCAATTTTACCACCATCAGTCCATCCATGTTGCTTGAAAAAAACCTGTGCACGGTTGTTTCCCCCAAAAGCCATCATCTTTAACTGCTCTGGAGACCAGGAGTCTAAATTTGTGGACCTAAAAATCACAGGTGAAGCAGCTTAGAGATATATTACTGAAGCTTCCAGAGAGCTACAACAAATGGCACTAGATTATGCTAACTCTAGAAACATAAAGCTTCCCTAGCTGCATTGCTTTAGTAGGTAACCTGAAACCTTCGTTAAATGGTTAACAGGATCAAGGGCTTGCTTTATAAAACTAATGCTTCATAGTACCCAAGACACTACAGCAACTTCAGTAATGAAGCAGCTTTCACTAATTCAGCAGATTTCAGAGCTTGTCATGGGTCAACATGGTTCCTTATGTCCAGATATTTAGAAAAACATGTGCAGCTTTCACTGTAGTGTTGTAGAGACACTGCTTACTGTTTTCAGGATTTCTCACGGTTCAACATAATTTCTGTATACAGATGAAATTAAGAAAAAAACATGTAAAACATCATTGTTGTCCTTCTTAATATTTGCAAAGAGTCATTATTAATATGCATGTCAACTAAAATAATTAACATGTGTATTCACTGTATCGTATAACATTTTTCAAAAGATAATAGCTCTTCTTATATGAAAAGTGATTTTTTTGTAGCCTTGTAGGCTGTGCTAATTTTTTTCAGGTGTTACCCTGGTTCAGCATAATTTTGTATATACAGACATCTCTTAAGAGGAAAAATGCCACTGACATTGCTGTTCTTAATGACCATTTATCTGTCATATTGACTAAAAGAATCAACACTTGAACATGCATGTTATAGACATATTTCAAAAGTTAACAACATATGTCATATACCATAGTTCTAATTATATGGTTTCACCTAAGTTATACATGTATACACTGTTTTAAAAAACCTCCACCTAGTCCGCTTAGGCGTACGTCTAGGCCTAGGCGGTACCTAGGCCGCCTAACTAGCACCTAGGCGGTATTTAGGCTGCCCATCTAGATTTTACGAGCGTTTAAGGGGAGCATTGTCTGTTTACGTGGATTGCACCCAGTAGGTCTTGGTTGTGATTTTAGGTGTTGTAGCCTACATTTCCTCCAAACTCCATTAACCTCCAAATATGAACACCTCCACTATCTCCTCCGACCTTCAGCAAAACCTCATCGACCATCACTTAAATAAAAAAAGAAATCCGCCTAGACACCAGTCTGGCATCTAAGCTTTCTATAACATTGACATTCACTATCAATTATTATAATTAAAAATAAAAAAAGAAAACATCTTAGGCTCTAGCATTGTTAATTATTATTTTGGCTATTTAGTATCTAAGTATGCATGATTTATTGTGGAACTAAGATTGCTATCTTTTTTTAAAAATTTATATAAATTTAATACATATTTTTATCAATTATTATAATTAAATAATTTAAAAATAGTCAAACATCTGGGCGTACGCCCAGGGATCTAGGCGCTACGCGCTCGCTCAAACGCCTAGTCTGCCTAGCGCCTTCCGTAACATTGCCGAGCTCCCCCGATCTCTGTAACTACTAACAAGATAAAGAATACTTCTTAAATATCTATTTAAGTTAGTTAACAACAGTAACTTAAACTTAAGAAGTGTAAGTTTAGTTAACAACAGTAACTTAAACTTAAGAAGTGTAAGTTAACAGTAAACTTAAGTTTAAGTTTAAGTTAAACTTAAGTTTAAGTTTTTTGTTAATGGTAATTAAGTTTAAGTTTAAGTTAAACTTAAGTTTAAGCTAACAGTAAACTTAAGTTTAAGTTTAAGTTTAAGCTAATATTAAGTTTTTTGTTAATGGTAAACTTAAGTTCAAGTAAACAGTAAACTTAAGTTAACAATATTTTAGTTAACAGTAAACTTAAGTTTAAGTTTATTGTTAACTTGGGGCTTGCTTGGATCGAGGGGAATAAGGGAGAAGGGAAGTTAGGGGAACCATTCACCTTGTTTGGGAATATTTAGGAGGTAAAGTTATTCACCCTAGTTTTCCTTAGTTCACCCCTTAATAGTATAAAATTTGTTAACCCCCAAATTGGGGGGTAACCAAGGGAAAGGGAACTCCCTTCCCTTCCTTTCTCTTCTCTTACCTAGTTTCCATTAACTTCCCTTAACCCCATTAAAATCCAAGCACGCTTTTAAACTTAACAATAACTTATAAGTTAACAGTAATTTGAGTTGAGAATGAGTTTTTTACTGTTGAGATGAACTTATAATTTGAGTTGAGAAGTATAAACATACAAAGAACTATTGTAATTGGCAAACCAAGCAATTTAGTTAATAGTGTTGGTATTTTAGTATTTATGCATTTTTGATTGAGTATACATATATATGTATTTATCTTCAAGTATCACAATTAAAAAAAAAAAAACGCCCAGAAACTGCTTAGGCGCCCGTCTAGGCGACTAAGCGCTGGGCGCCAAGTCCAACGGCTAAAAGTGCTCAGCGTTTAATGTAACATTGCATGTATATTTCAAAAAAAAAACATAATGCACACCGAAATACATTAAAGGCTGATACTAATTTTAAAAAAGGAAAAAAATAAAGAATTAAAATAACTACAGAGTGGATCAGAAAAATCACTTATAACATGCACTCCCCTACTTCCAAATGGCCATAATCATCACCAAAATGAAATCACTAACCTGCCAAAAGTCCTAACAAGGAGATTGACCAAAATCATTTTTGGTAGCTATCAGCCACCGACTTAATATAAATTCCCTTCTAGACGGAAGCATCTTTAACCGTTTAACCCGAAAAAGAAATACATAAACATTTACATAAGGGTATAAGCAAAATTTAATGCTTAGCATGTAGTAGAGCACATTGTGCATCAGAAGCTACTATATTAAGTTATAGAGGTTTTTCCTAGAAACCACCAGAAAAATAAGGGCATTATACAGAAACCATTTTTCATTTTCAATTTCTACAAAAACCATCTTTGACGTAAGTTTTTTTTCCCAATCAACCACCTCCCAGTTAAAATTTTTACGAAAACCCAAAAATACCTTTAAAAACTCACAAGACACGTGACTTATTTTATTAATATTTAGACCTAGTTAGGATACAAGGTATGTACTTTAAACATGTATTTTGTAAGCTTATTTTTTGTTTTTACTGAAATATTGACTAGGAGATGGTTGATTGGAAGAGAAACCCCCATTTCAAAGGTGGTTTACGAATAAACTAAATATGAAAGGTGATTTTTGTTAAATGACCCTATTTTTAAGGTGGTTTCCAGAAAAAAAACTAAGTTAAAAGCTAAAAACATTCTTCTGAGATAAGACACAGAGTAAAGAAGGTATAGGAACAACAATCTTCTAATCAATGTTACATAACGATGGACTCTTAAGCAGGCGCCTAGACGGGTTTTTTTTCTTGTTGATTATTATTAGGGGAGGAAAACAATTGAATCGAAGCAAATAACATGGTATATGAATTCAAATTTGGTTTGCTCCAACGAATTTGAATTCGTGTCGAATTGTGAAAGGGCGTTCAAATTCAAATTGTCAATATACTCGCGAGTATTTGTTAGCACACTTGGTTGAGACACTTGGCTCTTTAACCTTAGGTCTTGAATTTCATCCTATTTGATCAATTTTTGTTTTATGTCTTTTTTACATTTTTGCTTAACTACTTATGATACATCACTGCTAACAAATTTATAAATTTATAAGTTATTAACATACTTAAAAATATTAATAGTAATATTTATAATATGATATAACATAATATATTAGTATAATGTAATATGCTAATGTAAAAGTTAAAAAAAACATTTTATTATAGACTAGCAAACTTGTTTTAACGTTTAATCATTCTCTATTATTTTTAATCTATATCAATATATTTTAACGAAAGCAAATAATAATCTACATTTAAATTAACTTACGAATATAATCTAAATTGAAATTATAATTTATTTCAAATAGATATTTTGTTATTATAGATGTGGACATTATAAATATCTCAAGTGCAACTTTATAGGATAGATAATTTATGATCAATTATCTTTACAGGAATATAATGTAAAACATAAACGGATATTGTTTATCAACTGAATCGAATATACCTCTGTTTAAATTCTATTCGTTTATAAATCGAACACTAAAAAATATTCGTTTACTGTAAAATGAACTATCAAATCGAATATGACCAAATAACTAGACGAATAATAATCAATTTGTTTATTAATCATTTGTGCATTTCCACCCCCAATTATTATTACGAATTGCTGATAGATACATTAAATTCATAAAAAACTGTAGAAAAATACATAACATTTTTATAGACTCAATCAAATACAAAATCACTAAGTAGCAACACAAGATACACAACTATTCCAAATTTAGAGGTTTGAGTCACAAATATCAGCAAAAGGGCAATGTATCTCAAAACTAATAGTCCAATATATATTGCATATATGACCTTCATCCTCCTCCTTTGCACATCGCTAACCTCCTTGGAATCCATGCAATCCTCCTCATCGATCACATCATCATCGGAGTCAATAAGATCTTCTTTGACAGCGATCCTAGAAGTAGATCCACCTAAAGGCCCCGCTAGTTTATTACTCCTTTGGTTCGCCATAGTCACGTTTGCTCCGGATATGACCTCATCATCCTCCAAGGCCCGAACAACAATAAATCTCTTTCTCGCCATTGAGGTAACCCCTTCTAAGATCCATGTTTGTGGCTTACTACAATAGACTAATGTTGGCAAGTTCTTGTCTTCACCTTTCCTCTTTTTCTACTTTAGTTTTGCATAGAACTTCATGTATGCCAGTTCTTTTTGTGGATCTTGAAAGGAAGTGAACAAATTAGTATGTTCAATCAGAAAGAACTTCATCTTACTGATACTTTTAAATACTAGTTACCCCTCAAATGTGTTTCAATTCCTTATTGCTTCGTTGTTGTAGCTATATATTTGGAGTGAGGGACCAGAGCACATTCGAGGGGTAAGCTAATATCTAAAGTTACTAATAAGATTAAGTTCTTCCCAACTGAGCTTATAAATTTATTCTTTTCTTTTTTGAAAATTCATAAAAAGAGAGGAACAAATTAGAGTCGAAGAAATTAGAGGACCTTGTTCATTTGAAGTTCAACGAAAAATTCAAGCATAAGAAATGAGGAGAAGACAAGAACCTACTACTATCGTAATCGCGGCGAGAAGCGCGTATAGTGGTTAAAAAGCGCTATTAGCGGTTAAAAGCACTTTTAAGCGGTATTTTAAAATAGCGGGTTTAAGTTGAGGGACCCGACCCGAATGCACTTTAAACCCTAGTCCAATCTATTTCTCTCGACCTCGACTCTTTCTGTCAACGCCTTGTCTCTCCTCTTAAAGAACCCTAGTGCCGATAGTGACCTTTAAGAGCTCCTCCTCCGGCAAACTTCTCCTTTAGTGGTAAGCTTCTCCTTCAGCAGCAAGCTTCTCCTCCAGTTTCAGCAGCAGCCGGCAACAGTTCTCCAGCATGTCCTCTCTCGAGTCTTCGAAACTCCAGCAGCAATCCTCTAGCAGCTACAACCCTCCAATAGTCCAGCAGGAGCCCTCGAGCAGCAAATCTCCACCTCAACCACCTCGACAAATCTCCATTCCATTCCGGTGATGATGAGTCATTGCTCAATTTCAGACTTTAATCACTTTGCTTTTGAGACTTCTGGCTTTTAATTTGCTTTTATTTAGACTTTTGAGTTTGGAGTTTGGAAATGCCTAGGAGTTTGATCTTTATTGCTTGTTTAGTATCTATAGACTGTTATTATTTATCATGACATTATCTTGCTCTGCTTATTTATCTATACTTGAAGATTTTATTTTTTATGTCAAGTTTCTAGTAGTTAGTATAATAATGATGTTACTAATCAATGTTTTTTTATTGTTGAGGATATTTATATTAGAGTTGAAAGTTGAAGGATTGGGCCAAATAACGGTCTTTTTGATAAACATGTACGTTTTTTATTCTTTATAGTACTTTGTTAATATTATGCAATTGTTACACATCTATTTTATGCTTAGCATCTTCATAAATTATCAAATATGCCTTTGTAGAATTTTTTAGATTTTTTTATAATTTTTCTTATTTTTTAGAATATATAATAATATAAATATATTTATATTTGACCGCTACTATGCACTATTTGCCGCTATTTTACCGCTATAGGCGCAAATAGCCTTAGCGGTACCTTGCAGCGATGTTACGCAATCCACTATCAGCAACCTTGGACACATATAACTACCTCAAAAAAGTGAACGTTACAACAAATAGTTTTCTCCCTAACTCTAATAATATAACTACACAAGTTTAGTTGCATAAAACATCAAGTTCATCACCATCTCCCCAACGAAACCAGTAACTCTCATCCATAAAAACTCCTACAAAATAAAGCTCACCACACATATTAACAAAATAAACTCTCTCAAGTACCAATACCCAAAAGACTTCCACTAGCAAAAAAACTAGAACACATCAATCTACCACGCTAGGCCAAGCAACCACATCTTTGATCCCAGTCAACTCCAGGAGGATAACAATCTCGCAAAGGAGGAGCACTAATTAGATTAGATTAGATGCACTACATTAGAATATTAATTATGAGATACAATGTCTTTTTTCGATATTTGGAGACTTAGAATTCTAAATTTGGAATATCATGTGTTGGTATTTAGTACTTATAGATCTCTGGATGAGTATTATGAATCTATGAATGTTATACTTTCTCCTAATTTTTTCTACATTATTTATGAATTTAATGTATTTATTATCAATTAATCATAATTAACAAAACGACTATGAGGTGATTTGAGTGTCACGCTGGGCGCTTGGCACTTATGTAACATTAGAATTACAAAACATTCCCGATCAAAATCACAGAAAAATACTAGGCAACCTAGGCGTCGGACCCAACGCCTAGACTCTAGCACCTCGGCGAGCCATTGAGCGATTTCCTATTTTTTATATTTTTTAAGTTATAGTAATTGATAATAAATGTTAATGTTATAAAAAGTGCTAGGCACCGCTAGGCATCGAACTAGCACCTAACGCCTACGCATCCAAGCGAATTTCTTTGCCTAGCACCTAACGCCTACGCATCCAAGCGAATTTCTTTCTTTTGGTTTATGTGGTGGTGGAGGAGGTTTTCTGAAAGTCAAAGGAGGTGAAGGAGATGTTCATAATTAGTGAACGAGGTTAGAGAAGTTCGGAGGGGGTTGGACGTAGAGACTGCAACGAGAGAAATCACAACCAAGACCCAAGTGTGTAGTTTGCGTGAGCAACACATGCTACATTAGGCACTCTCAAGACCTAGGCTGACGACCTAGGTACCGCCTAAGCCTAGGCAGGCTACGCATCTGCTTTTAAAACATTAGTCTTGATCTTCCTTCTCTTACTTTCGTTTGTTTTCCATCAAGAAATCATGTAGCTCGCATCTCCTCTTACCTTTCCCTTCACTCATGAGATTTTCATAGGCAGGTTGAGCAACTAGATGTCTCATGACATTATCTATTTTCTAGGGTTCCCGTATAACCTCCAACAAATGTAAGATGATTTGATCCATGGGAAAAGAAGCACACATGTGCTTACCAGCCTAACTAACATGTGCTTACCAACCCTAGGTCTCTAACACCCAATTACATGAATGTTAGCAGAAAATTTCCCAATTTCCATTAATTGCAATCAGACCATTTCGATGTTAGGTTTTCATGTTTCTAAACTGTCACAAGAAAAAAAAAATCTAACCAAAATGGATATCCCTCACATGTCCTACCAAAACCATAGATTAACACTCAATTACTCCAATGCTACATCCCACTTTCCTTGCAAGAATTAAAGCTAATACAATAGAGATCAGAATCCACACCTCACAAAGCTAACATGAACGCCGAGGCTCCGATGTACCGCCGAGCAATCAATACAGAGAAAGATCCCGTACGTTACCGAAGCCCACGTCGGATTCCTCGCGTTGCAATCGAAGCACATCTAAATTCCAAAAAAAAAAAAAATTCCACGATCATAACCTCTCAGATCTGAATTCATCAGATCAGATCTCTCAGATCTGAATTCATCAGATAAGATCTCGGTGAATTGGGGAAGAGATCGATTACCTTGTTCTCGGACCGAGATCTGAGCTTCTTGAAGATGGCGTTCTTATCGAGGACGCCATCGGAGGCCATTGGATTTGAAAAGCTAGGGTTTGAGAGGAGGAATGAAGGGGTTTGATCCTCCTCTCAAAAGAGAAACTTTTAATGGGGGGAGACGAGAGAGCGAGAGGGTAATAGGGAGCCGAGATCGTTTGCGATCGAAAAATTAATTAGAATGAAGAATAAATAAATAATAGAATTATATAATAAATAAATAAAAATAGGTAGATGGTTCTCTTCGTCTTCGTCGGTCGGAAATGCCCTTCGGTTTCGATCTATTTCCAAGACAGCCTGTCTTGTCTAACCGTTGGTGGGTGGAGGGGTATGGTACGGTCTTAACCTGAACTGCTACGAGGTTGATTTTTATTGGTTGTAGTTTGGAGTTTAGCAGGAGAAGCCTGAATAGGAAATTTTGGGGCGTTTAGGGGGGTGTTAGTGTCAAATCCTATAATTTTAGTATACGGATTTCATTATGGCATTTGAAATTCATATATTTTTTAATATGAGTTGGGATTTCTAAAATATTGTTTGTTTCATCAATATTTTAAGATATATATAATTCTATAATTTGTATTTTGTTTGTTTCAAACTCAAATTGTAGCATTATAAATTTTAGAATTTGAAATATAGTCTAAATTCCCTGGGGATTTCACAAATGTTATAATATATTAGTTTTTTATTATTTAGGTATTCAATATCTTAAAAATTATTTTTAATTAAATAAGGATTATGAAATCCATAGACTAAAAAAAATCACTTTTTTATCATAAAATTTATAATCCACCCTATATACCAAAAAAAATCTGAAACAAACACCATGGAGAAGGGAACGATTTGGTGTCCGGTGCTGTTCGACATTGATATTGGTGGGCCTATTTCATGACTTATTGTATACGCAAGGTTTTGATGATTTTTGAAATTTAAAGCTACATACTGCTTTTAGGTAGCATATAAAAGATTGGGAAAAATTATAAAGAAACTGCATTGAATTCTAAACCTCAAAGAATGGAAGGACTAGGGGTTTACGGGTTGTTTTCGTAATAAATAAGTTGTCTGATATTTGAAATTTGAGTCCAAAATGAAGCCCAGCCCATTATGAATATAACGTGAAGAATTTGACCCATCTTGATGAAAGAGAGAAAGAGAACGAGCCATGATGGAAAAACATTCTCTACAAATGATTCTTATATTATTACCCATTTGGAGAAGTAAAATATTATCTATTTTAAATCAGGACAATTAATATATGAAATGAGGATAAATCTATAATATATATATATATCTACTTCTTTATTACTAAAGGAGAACAACAAGAAAGTTAAAATGAACAGTAATCTATGTTTGTGAACAATGAAAAAAATAAAATGAATAACCAACCAACGTTTCACAGTTATGCAACACACCACTATACTCCCACGTTGTCCTAGGCCCAAACTACCCACGTTACACATTCTCTCTCCCTCCCCCTCTCTCTCTGTGTATTTTTTTTGGAAAACCACCCCACCCCCATCTCTTTGCCGGTCTCTGCCCCTTCCCCTCTCTCAACCCATTGAAATCCCCTTCGTCTCTCCATCCCAATTCCTACTCTCTCTCTCTCTCTCTCTCTCTCTCTCTCTCTCTCTCTCTCTCCCTCGAAACAAAACGCAGGGTAGAGAAAGCTCAAGAAAGTGACGACCATGGTGGAAACGAGGGCTTCTTCTGAACGGTCTCTTCTTTCAACCTCCTCCTCTTCATCAACTATCTTCAAGTCCAAACGCTCCAAGGTCCAATCTTTTTCTTTCTTTTTCCTTTTCTGGTGAAATTCTTCAGTTTAAGGGCTTTGATCGGTTTTTTGTTTGTCGTTTTTAGCTGAAAGGAGATGAAAAGGTTCTGATTCAGATTTCCATCCTTTTTTTTTAATTTTTTTAATTTGTGATCTAAGTGTTCTTCTCCACTTTGTAAATTTTGTCTCCTCATCCATTTAATGTTTTCTAAAAATTTTGAAATTTGAATTTGGTTTTAATCTCAGGAGAGTAGATGGTTAACTCGATAATTAAAGACAATTCTACGCATTGGATCGGTATGTGAATTAAGTTTACCTTGAAGACTATTTATGGGTTTTTAATCATATTTTGATATGGGTTTTGTTTTTTAATGGTGAAATAATATTGCGTGGTCGAGTTTCAGGTTGGACAATATTTATTTTTGGAGGACAACTTATGTTTATGCTTATGGTTTGTTCTCTACTCCCTTTTTTAGGGATATTTTTATGTTTTTTTTTGGTGTATATGTGCATTTATTTATGTTAGAAATTCCCTAAAGATTATAAAAATGAAAGCTTTGTTTTCCTTCAAGTTGATTTTTATATGTAACATTGCAATACCTCTATGCCTATATATTCATGTATATGATTTAATGTTGAAGATATGGCGGTAAGGTGTGATATTTATAAACAAAGAAATGTTATGTCAATTGGTGTTCTAAAATTTACCCCACTTACCTTCTTTGTTTTTTTATATGTGTATAATTGGTTGGTGTTGTATTCCAAACTGCTCAATTAGATTTGTTAAGGACAGAGATGTAACCTTTAGTATGGTCGAATGCGAACCATGCGCAATATAACCTGCTAATATGACGAGAATCATTAGCCGATCTTGGGCTTCTACCTTTAAACAACAGGGTTTCAATATAACCTGCTAATATGACGAGAATCATTAGCCGATCTTGGGCTTCTACCTTTAAACAACAGGGTTTCTAACAATTTGACCAATTTTACGAGAATCATTAGCCGATCTTGGGCTTCTACCTTTAAACAACAGGGTTTCTAACAATTTGACCAATTTCATTGATCTTTTACCAGATATAGTGGAAATTTATGATGTAAGTTTGATTAGGTCAAACTAATTTCGATTTTGTGGAATTTGTTTCTTGGTGAATATTGTTTTTTAAGTTGCTAAATAATCTACAGTCAAAGTATTTTATAACTTTTAACTAGAGAATAGTGTGCTCTTGCTGCATTGATGATTTGAGCATAGATTTTAAACAAGATTTTCACTCAAGCCTTCTACATTAGATGCTCAGTTGTAAGATACTTTAATGTCTTATTTCTCATGATTCATAATTAGTGGGTGTTGAAAAATCTAAGAATCCAGGCATATAAAGATACAAGTTGGATTTTGATGGAAGGATGGAACCTAAGTAGAGTTCTATATCAGAAACTACTAATTGCGTTACATATCGAACTAAAGTTTTTTTTTGTCCATCTTTCTTTTAGTTATGGTTGTGCTTGAAAGCTCCAATTGGAAGTCTGATGTTCTGGACTTGCTTTCATTTGTGAGATGGGTTAGGGGATATCTAAATTTCATCTTTTCAGTTTATTACAACTTTTGCGCTAAATGAGCAGTGTAATATTTTTTAAATCATTCTTTTTGCTTCATCTGAGAGTTCTACTTGCTTGAACTCTACTGCCAAGACAATGGAACAATAGAACGATCTTTCAATTATTTGAGCGAAACTAAGGTGTATTTGATCTTCATCCTTCTCCATTTAATGTTATATTTATATTTGAACAATTGTTCTTGATGGTAATTAGGTGTCTAAATCATAATTTCTTGGATTGTTTGTGGAACGTGAATGATTCTTTGATTACAATTTTGTGCCACTTAGGGGTCTCCACAAACAAATTTTGCTATAGTGAAGAATTTATCAGACGAAATTTTATGGATTCAATATCACTTGACTATAGTTTTTGTTTGACCTTAAATTAACTATTTAAACCAATACTTCAGATGTCAAATTAGGGTGAATAAATTTTTAATAACATTTATTTATTCGTAAGTCTTCCATTTATTTTTGTGATTGCAATTTAGTTGCATGATAATAGAAAAGTTCATTTGTCGCATAATTTCATTTAAGATCCATTTTGGACATCTGCTGAACTTTATTTCATCGTCTTTGTTTCAGTATTTCTCCTTCAACGCCATGGTAACACATCCCCTCCGGCGCAGAATCATTCTCCTTTTTGTTAGAGAAAATCAAGAGGTACTCTCTACTTCTGTTTCAGCAGATTGTGGATGTCCAGTACCAACCACTTATGTTGCTGTGTGGCATCATAAAGGGTTTGGTGGTATGTATGGCTACTAAAATGAACAGGTGGCTGACATTCCCCACCTCCATTTCCCCATAGTAAGTTCTTGGTCTTTGGTCTCTTTTCTCTACTTCCTTTCCATCTTAATTCTACAAAATCTTCTTTATCTTTTGTGGCCATTTCTTAGATAACAATTTTTTAATTTTTCTTTTAGATTTCTAAGATACTGAGAAGAGGACTCTGATCGAAGCATGATTTAAAAGGTAAAATATTTTCTTTTAATGTACAAATATCAAATGTTGTACGGAAGCTGTTATTCTCCCATCTTGAGTTGTCTCCTGTGTTCTTTGAATATACAAATATCAAATGCTATATTCCCATCTTGAGTTGTCTCCTGTGTTCTTTGAATATACAAATATCAAATGCTATATGGAAGCTGTTATGCTGATGAGAGGATATTAAATCTGTGTTCTTTGAATATACAAATATCAAATGCTATATGGAAGCTGTTATGCTGATGAGAGGATATTAAATAAATAAATAATATATTTTCTTTTCTTCACCACTACCCAATCGAAGTTCAACATTTTGTAAGGAAAAGTTCTTTATTTGTTGTTTTTTCTGTAATTCAATTGTTGGAAGTTTGGTTCTATGTTCTTTTGGCTTGATTTGGGGCACGTGAAGATTTTGGAAATTATTATGACGAAATGTATGTCGACATTGAATTATTTGAAAGTCTTTTGACTTAAACTATTGGATTTTAGCCCCGTTTTCACAAATTTGTAATTGGAATTGTTACTACTTCAGTAAGTCTATTAAACTTTTATTGCTTATTGGTTTCTATTCTTAATTGATGCAGATCGATAATCAGAGAGGCTCACAAGAAATTTAACATCATATGGTACAATTATTGTATCTTTTGCATTGTTGAATCCTTTGGGTTATCTGTTACATTGTTCCTTCTTTTTATTTTTTTAAATTTAGCAATGTCATTAATAACTTAAGTTTTACGCATTACAACAAACATCTGAAGAAGTTTGAATATGGCTCTTTAGGTTCCTCTCTAGCATCATGAACATCTACATGTTGTTTTAGAATGATTTTATTT